TAATATGTTGGGGCTATATTGGGGATATATTGGGATAATGGAATATAGAATGGAAACCACAAAAGTATATTGGGGTTATGTAGGGATAATAGAAAATGAGGTACATACTTTGCCCCCCCACATTAGATGGCCAGTTGCCAAGTAGGGATGTGATCGGCCAGGATCCAAGAACAAAAGCTTGTCATGACCCGTTCTCAGGATCATTCTGAGACATGCCAGGGCGTGTTCCACCCCTAAGGTCGTAGCCTCAAGGTCTAAAGCCCGCCAAAAGCATCCTGAGCTGTCAGGCTGCAGACTCCCGAGCCCCAAGCATTCAGCAAGGCCTTTTGAACTTTTGATGCCAGCAAGCCTCCAATCAATATACCCTACTGTCTTTTCCATTATCCCTATTATACCCCTATATAACCCTAATATATACCCTATCATAGTAGTTCCCACACGTAAGGACCAGGAGCTGGGGCAACTAAGAGAGCTGCCGAAAGCCAACATTCTGGTGACAGCAGCTTGTCTATCTTAGAATAATCAGGAAGCAAAGGGAAAGTACATGGAAAATGGCATGCGAACTGGGGTCATAGGGAATTTGAAGGACACTTTACCAGTGTTGGGCTGGTTTGGGTTTAGGGTGTAAGATTTAGGTTTGGGGTGAGTGACGGCTTCAGGGGCATCTAGGCGTTGGGACGCCTCAGAAGGGACCCATAATTCGGAGAAGTTTCCAACTCTGTGCTTTTGGCATTTTTGTGATCGTTATGATCATTCACGACCGAATACTTACTGGTGCTGAGTAGGGAATAAGGGAATATAATCCTTATATAGTCCCTATATTCTCCCTATATAGTCCCTATAGAATCCCTATATAATGTATTCCTTGATTCCCTAGTAACCCTCAGTAAGACTATCAGGAAGATCCGTGAAAAGCCACATGCAGGTGTAGAGTCCCGGGTTGAGGATTGTGGGTTTAACATGGGTACTCCCCTCACTCAGGACCAGTTTATAACATAGTAGGTCTAGGAGGAGTCTAGGATATTTAGGGTTTAGGGGCCAGAGTTTAGGGTGTTTATGGACTATATATAAGTGGATGCTACCTACTATTCAGAATATCTTGGAAGCTAGCATGTTGGATGGACCCCTCAAAAGCTTCAACGCGCAGGCAGCCCATTTTAAAAGTTCCCCTCGTGGGTCTTATGGGGTTTTTAGCAAGGCTTCAGGCCGCATCCCAGCTGCAAGTTCAGGTGTCTCTTTGGTGTTTAAATCAAGGTACTGGCATTGGGGTGACGACGTTTTTTTTTTTAGGTGGTGAATTCGGTGAAGGGCCTCAAGTCCGGAATTTGGCCAAAAGTTTTGGTGCACGTGATCGAGTTCTGGCTTCGGGTGTTCTTGATCGTCAGGGACTTCCCGTGGGCATTCGCTGCGGGGGTTGGACTTCAGGGTTTAGGGATTAATGTCCCAGGTTTGAACTGGGGATTCTGTGCCCACCCAATGTTGTTCTACCGCTTCCTCGGTGCTTCTTAGCCGTTCAACAATCACTATTATGTAGCAGTGGCAATCCACATCTTTGTCCACATACTCCATTGCTTGCTTGGTCCTCAAGGGCATGCGAGCCAACAGGAACTGTTGAAGTGAGTTGCTCTAATCCCGGGCTAGCGCTCTTCTTCCTCTTGTGCCAGCGTGGATTTCCCTGAAGATAGCGGTACATTTTTTGCGCCCTTGGACATGGAAGTCACATGTTTAGGTTTGGGGTGAAGATGTTTCCGGAAACTGATACAATATGTTGTGCGCTCTACATCCCCGCAGGCTGACTCAGTTGCCCCCCAAACGCTGAACATTCGCATCCCGCACTCTGCTCAGGATAATTTCGACAGTTGGGCCGAGCGCATGGCAAAGACCTACAAACGGATGTTAATTGCTGCGCGGCTCAATCAAATGGGTTTGGCTAGGCTTCGCGTTTTCGGGACATACTTAGTCTGTCCAATGCAGTTACCTTGAGGCTTTGCTGGTATTTCGGTTGGGGTTCTTACCAGCCCGAGACGGGACGACATGTGCGAGTCCATGTAAGTAGTCGCATCCCGCTTAGGATACTTTTTCAACACGGTTTTTTGACCAGGCTTCTCCATTGCTTCATTACGTCGCTGGGTGAGACTAGCCTATCAATGGTGAATTTTGTGGTTTGAGCTACCCAGTCTCAGCGTGTTTTGGAAGGACGTCCGTTTTGCCATCGCCACTGTATTCAAGACATGCAAGCTTGACACTTCCCCCCCCATTTTTCAGTCCTAAGGCAAGGGATCCCTGAACCCAAAACAGTTTGGCTCCAAGTTTGAAGACTCTTTTCCCACAAAAGGAGGTTTCTGTCTACAAAGCTGTTAGCAGCACAGAATGTTTTTTCTTTTTTAGCAGAAAAGCCTTCTACTCACATCTCCGAACTTTGACGCTCTTCATCCCGCCATTTTGGAAATTGTACCCTCCTAGAGGTGTCAGAAAGCTTCTCATCAAGGGGGTGGTGGCCGGTCTTACTGACATGCAGAAGGGAGAGAACCCAGACCCAAACCCCAAAGCGTATAATCTCTAAATCCTACACCCCGAGCAAATCCTGAACCCTGAGCCCCAGTGCAATGCTGAGTCCATGCCAGAGCCCGATGCACTTGCATAGCTGCCGCTTGCTACGCCCGAGGCTCGCCAGAGCGAGAATTAACATGCGACAAGGGGGGGAGGTCCTGCAAATCTTGCTGTTGCGTATTGCCGTTTCCATAAGCACCTTCAATTGTTCAGGGCTTCAAGGCACATATGGAAGAACAACTTTCGTGCCATTTCTTGCAATGCAGTTTTGTTGATAGAATTCTTCAACCCATATAGGGGAATTGCTGCTTGTGAAATGTCATGTTCAAAGCAATCATTCAACATCACGAAGCTAAATCCCAACAAGGAAAAGCAAGGTATCCCGATTTAGGAGCCAGAAAAGCAGGAAGAGCAACCAGTAAAGTGGTGTGTGCAAGATGCCAAATTGGAGTCTCCCAGGAGCTTCACCACCGTGTTCCCAATTGCTTCTGTTTCCGTAACTTTCCTTACTGCCTTAACCCTTAATATAACTCCAAAATACCACTATATAACCCTTATATAGCCACATAATATGGTAGTTTCCCTTTTCTTTTCCATTATCCTATAAACCTTAAACCCTGGATAGAGTCGCACAAGATGGCCAAGACTATGCAGATTTGGTGTCATTGCAGACCCCTGGAGGCTTCTGGAAGCCTTGGGTTGGACAAGGAGGGTCTATCTTCAATCATATGCCAGTTGCAGCAATTGTGCTTTTTCACATAAGCACATATACATTCTTATATATATATATGTATGGATATATGGAGCATGCATATGTCCATGTTCACATATAGGTATGCCCTGCCACACCCTGGGCTGGGCGTGGAGCTTGAACGTTCAACAATGTAGTGCCGCATTGTGAAGCCCGTATACATAAGAATATTGCTGAGTTGCTTGGTTTGTCACCTCGGACAATCATTCTAGCGTATTTGAGAACCCATCAGCCCGCGCTAGCGATAGGCTGATTCGTAGGACTCCCAACTTGCCCTGGCCAGTTCTACGCGGAAATGCAACCATTGATGCCAAAGTGTTTCGTGCAACCGTTGCCCTTGCTGCGAGGTACTCCCAAGCAAGCGGGCGAGTGGCAGCTCATGAGAAAAGGTTTTTGCATGCCTGCTTGCACTTTTTGTTTCTTTTTTGAAGTCTCCTCTTCATGATCATGTAGCCAAATAGGTATACTGTATTACAAGCTGAAAGCAGGCGGCTCTGATCGCCGGCACTGACCTAGGCCCTCCGAATATTTTGTCCATGTACTGTTGAATCCGGTCAAGCGTTGTAGCCCGATTTGAGTGCCGGCTTAGACCCTTTCTCCCCCTGCAGCTTTAAGTCTACGAGAGATACACGTTTTGGGTTCCTACTGTAAAGCCTATAACTATTCCCTAGAGCAGTTGATACCTGGAATTTTCCTTTACTGGGTAAAAGTTGCGGGGCGCCGGGAACGGCTTGAATCTCAACTGAGAATCTCAACGTGCTCCGCGCCAAAATTCCCCATGTCTTCGCAAGGGGTTTTGGCTGTACGTTTTGGCCGCATGTTTTTGGGGGCATGGCTCGGGAAGTCCCCAAAATTAAATCCTTGCACACCCTTATATTAGACCAGCAAAATTCCAGTAACTCCAGCACATCCCCTAAACCCGAGCCCTAAAACCCACAGCATCATTCTAGTCATTGGACTGCTTAGGTCGGCCCCCCCGGCAGCGGCACTGCGCAGCTTTGCCACTTGTCGCAGCTGTAACCTGCTGCTTGTAATAACTACACTAGTAGTATTTATCATATATTAATAAGGGTAACAATGGTAGTTGTAAGAACAATAAGAGTGCTGCCTGTGGTTGCGCTGGTGTTGTTGCTGCTCTTGGCCATTGCCGTTTGTATACCCCGAATCCCCCGCTGCTGTTGCTATGCCACTACTGTATGCAACTGATGCCAATGTCATGTTTTGGGTCCAGTCGTTTTCTGCTCGTTTTCTGCACTAATTAGATATGCATGCGCTTTATCTTATCTTATATGTGACGCTGCATTCTGATTTGAAAGTGTAGCAACACGGAATGCCCCTACACTCTACCTGCTATGTGGGAATCTAAGGGACCAATCTTTGGGACATGCTGGCTAGTGCCACATCCTCCAATTGCAAGCCTACAACCTGAAGGTCACAGATTGGCAGAGATGTATCGCATCCCAGCCGTCGTCCTGGATGAGCTGATCGAGGAGCACCAAGTTGTCTCTACTAGGTCACTGTTGGAGAGGGGATTGTGCATTTCGCTGTCAGACACTTTTCTGCCCAAGCCCTGTAAATCCCATCCTCTACAACCCCATGTCCGCAGAAATCGAGTCAGTGTGAGGGCTAGCGTGAGGGCTAGCGTTGGATTGACATGAATTCCAGGGCTTGGGATGACTTACAGGGTTGCAGGTGGATTATTTTGCAAGCTGTTGGATTCAGATTTAGAGTGTGGTGTTGGTAAGGTTTAGGATTTTAGGGAGGTGGAACTTCTTCTGGTTTTGAGGCTTCGGTATTGCCAGATATGTGCATCAGGCAGTCGGACGCTCCCTTCGTGAGGAGCAGCGGCACCTGGAAACTCCACTGGGGACCCAACTGAAGGAGCAGTGCGCCACTTACAACTCCATTTTCTTAGGCCCTTTGCAGTTGAAATATAGGCTGCCTGCTTGACCCAACAGCCCATTAGCTCATCAGCTGACGCACAACCTTGCAAATGGTTGACAAGGGATGTGCAGAAGCCTTTAGTCCTCCTTAAGTAGATAGAATATGGCTTTGGGTATATTATAATCAGAACCCCATATACCCTATATTCTAGCTACTTAAAGGGGACTATGTACTGCCGTGAGTTTCTGGTCAAGTGTGATTCATGCCAGAGAAAGTGGATGCAGCCTGTGTGGCCGCATTGGGGAAGCTTGCCAGACCCCGCAGAGCTGCGACCTGATTCAGGTCAAATACTTTGATATTCAGCTTAGGGGCACTCAGCTCGACAATGAGCAACTCCACAGTTGGTTAACTGCCTATACCTGATGACCAGCAACACCAGCAACAAAACATCTTTGCCCACCAGATGTATCTTGCTCAACTTGCGACGTTTGAGGAAGGATCGGCAATCAGGTAGCGTCTGTCTCGTGGCCACTTTACGAAGAATAACGACTGTCTGCCGCAGCTCTTAAAATTAGATGAGTTCCGTGGCAAACGTTTTCTAGCTGTACGATACTGCATGAATATGTCCGATGACGTTTCCAGCGAGAGGTTCGTGCAAAACCAGACGCCCTTTCATCACTTTTGCGCAAGCCGCTGCTAAACCTGGCTATGAAAACTCGTGAGCTATAGTTTGTGGGTATTTGTTTGGGGTACACTTTGCCTTTTAGATGCCACATGATTCCACCGGGCACCCCAGCAGCCCACTTTTGTGCCGGGCATTCTCGAAGGACCCACAACCGAGTCCTCACGTGCCCCTCCGTTCCTTTTGTTCGAGCCTAGACCGTACATCCTGAACCCCAAACTTTGACAACGAGTCAGGGGCTTGCAGTTTTGCCTTTGCCTCTGCCAAGGCTTGACATGATAGCTGCCAATGTGGCAAACCCCAAATCCACGGGGCCTTATCTGCCATGGCCTCAGTGTAGGTTCCGGCAGCTCAAGGCTTGGAGTAGTGCGTAGCGCTTACGGGCTACAGAATATAATGGGCGTTTGAGGTAGTAATATTCAAAATTGGGGAAGGAGCCAAATTTCATCTGGACCACCAAACAATGAAGCTTGTGGCCCTCGGATTATGTGGTTCCCCTTGTCCACGTTCGGTGCTATATGGATCCTGGCACAGCATGTTTTGTTTTCTGTTCTATTGTTTTCTGTTCCAGGATTAGATGCAGCAGCTTGGAAAATGTGCATCTTCCAACGCAACCCTTGGCACCGTGCACCAGGCCATCAGCAGACCCTGAACTGTAGACATCCTTCCCGAATCCCGAACCCCGTAGCTGCTCGTTGTCCAACAAATCATCCTTCCCTACCTGATCATCAACTGATCTAGGCTATGCCTGAAGCACAGCTGCAAGCCTGTTTGATGAGACTCCTCCCGCTTCCTCAGGAGATAGTTCACATTTTGTTATAGTATAACAGTATAACCCCTAGGAATTTGCAAAAGTGATCTTCATTATAGGTCTAGGGGGGATTACAGACTTCCTAGCGCGCCACAGGCTTCCTGTCGCTCTGACCACCCAGCTGGTGGATGCTGCAATCACCTCCTCAGCAGGCTCGACAGCTTTCCTTTCGAGTGACAGGCTTTGTATCCACAACAAAATTAAGGACTCAAATAATGGATGCGGCCTTCTTGGCGCAGCTAGAGGGTGCTGGGTCACGTGGTTGAGTGTGGCTTGGAGGCCCCTAGAGTCCTGAGAAGCGACACCCTTCCTTGCGTTCAACTCTGCTTCTACCATCCTTGTTTGAGTGTACATGTTTTTCATAATCAAAAGTACAGCAATGCAGGCGACCCTTAGAATTCTGTTCAAGAAGATGATCGTGCAGAAGCCTGCAGAATTAAAGAACTGGCACTGTTTGAGCAATCCTTGTAATGTTTGTAATGCTGCAGAATTGGCCAATGCTATTCCCTTGTAACCTGTTTAAAACGTACTCCTAAGCCCCATTCTAACTTACCATGCCACACAGTGCGCCCAGAACCTAGTCCTCAAACACAAGCCCTCCCCCTCCTCAAGTTGCCAGTTGCAAAGGCCACCATCGCGGATGGGTCTTGAGTGGCTGTCCTTCCTCCTTGGAGGCTCAGTTAAGCTGCATATTTCCGTGCTTTTGTTTAAGGGAGGTTGGGTCTAGGTTTGGGCCGGTTTGGGGTTTAGGGTTTGGAGGGCTCAGGACTGAGCGCTTACTGCTTGCGGCTGCTGGCGCTTTTTTCTGTTTGTGCGTTTTGGCTCGTTTCGCTTGCTCACTCGTTCTTGCTGTTCCAGACAGGGTATAGGGAGTACAGGGTTGAGATTTGTGGGTAGATGGTTTCAGTGTGAAGCTTGAGTGTTGAGGGGATCAAAGGTCCAGGTTTCAGGCTTGAACCTTTGAGGCTGAGGGTATTCACATGTTCACATGGAGATGTAGGACAAGATCTAGCACAGTTGACATGGCAACACGGCTGCTGCCAGCAAAAGAAGTGCATCGTAAGAGAAGAAGACGTGCAGCACTGCGGGCATCCAAATTTCAGTACTGTACAAGCTGCTAAATGGCCTTGTTTGTTGCGCTGGAAATCCCGGCCAGGCGCAAAAGGCCCGCAAGAATAACCCTGGACCCTAAAGTCTGAAAAAAGCCATCTTGCCATGTTCTAACCCGCAACCTCCGCATACAAAGCCCGCGACGCGGGGCTGACCCTACAAAAGCCCAATTTGCGCGGACGGTCCTCTTGACCCCAAGCCCAAAACTAAAGGTTTGTTCTGCTCCCCTTAGCGCAGGCGAACCCTTAAGGGAAGCCCCAACCCTGACAAACACGGTGGTGCCCACCATAAATCCATCTGCCCAAGCGACAAGTTGTCAAACGTATGGCTCTCTTGCGCTCACCATCAATCCTCCCCCCACCCCGGCCCGCAGTATACAAGACACTTCAAAATCTCCTACAGTATCCCCGCCCCTAAGCTGACACGCCACCCTGAAGCCCAAACTCACCTCAATCATTCCAAAAACGCAAATCATTTTTTCGCGAAGCCCAAACCCATCCCAACCCTAAAGTGATCCTAAGCACCTAGCCCACAAAGGCCCCCCCCAACCCCCAAACCCCCAAAGCCCTAAGCCCAAAGCCCTTTGAAGCCTGGAACCAGGAAGCTTCCCACCTCTTCCTGGATTTGCCCCCGCCCCCCAGCGAGCCTGTGGCTGATCCCAAGAAGAAGGCAAAGCCCGAGGCCTGGTCCAGGTTCTGTCTGGGAGTTATATGAAGGTTTCCCAAAATTAGGGGTACCGTGGGAGTACCTACTATAATGGAGAATCAAATGGAAAAGAAAATGGAAAATGAAATGGAAACTTGTGGAATATAGGGATTTAAGGAACTTAAATTAAGTTACTATATTGGGGAAACCCTTTTGGGTTTAGGGTTTAGGGTTTAGGGTATATTATCCCCCTATAATGGAGAATCAAATGGAAAAGAAAATGGAGAATGAAATGGAAACTCGGATTATGTAGGGGATTAGAGGGATTAGGG